TGTGTGTGAGAGCATTAAAGATACAGGTCTGAACTCCATATGTTCTTGGAAGTGAAGGCAGTGAAAGTGCCTAAACAAATCCCAAGCAGAAAAGGAAGTTCCTCAGGAAGCGTCCTTTCTATGTGCCACAGGTATTGTTAAGACAATGTATTCCTTCCTGTTTATCAGAGAAAATTGCTTAAGGTTGTTATAAGAATCAGGGTTATGTTTATAACATACACGTACCTCCAACTGCAAGCAGCCTGTGTGTAGCAGCTGTGCCAGCAAAAATACTGCACTTCACCGCTCAGAGAATTAAGCAGAGCCCTATGCTGCACAGCAAAACACAGTCCACCAGAAACACAACTACAAGAAAGAGCCACTTACTTGTATACAGGCTTATGGACGCTCCTACTCCTTCCGTCACACCATCAGCTGCTACTGCAAAGACTGTGAAAGTGTACGGCGTCCCAGGGGTTAACCCAGTAATTTCAGTTTCTGTGATATTTGATGTCTCGTTGTTAACGGAGTGCCCATTGCTAACCTCTATTCTGTATCTGTAGGTGTCTGTTGCTGTGTCATTCACTGTCCAGGTTAAGTTGACAGAAGTCACACCAACATATTCTGCCTTGAGATCAATCACCTTGCTGGGCTCTGAGAAAGGCAAGACAAAAATCCATCAATCTGCAACAATATCTCCTCACAAAGAATAGGGGAAAGACACAGACACACCACTACTTCACTTTCTTCACATCACGGGTCAATCAGAGTGCAGGAGCACCACAGCAACTGCACCACAGGTTCCTGGAGGGCAGGAAGGACAATGGTGTAGGGGAATGGGGCAAAAATAGTGCATCTCAGCACAGCTAAAGGTAACAAAAAAAGATCAATTATCACTGGAAGACAAACGGGAGGGAGGACCTGGGAACCCTTCTGCTTTTTCCACTGTTCAAGGCCCCAAGCTCACTCCAACAGCACAAAGAACATCTCCAAGACCCCCTCTACAGCATTTCATTCTCCACCCATCTCCAAACAAGGGTAACCAGTCACTATGGACAGGCAAATCAGGAGACACAGACCTTTGGGTAACAACTGGAAAGACAAGAGCACATACATGTGTACGTTTCGGGAGAACAGGAATGACAAGGCGAGCACACGTTGCCACTGAAATACAGCATGGTCACTAACCAGCTGCACTACAGCCTCACAGACCAGCTCCAGAGGTCTCCCCTACAGCACATATGAAGACTTAAAATACACAGCACAGCCAGCTAACAGGATGGACAAGGCAGTTCTCCTAAGCCAGTGCTGCCCAAAGCTCACTTCTCCACTCCAGATTCCCAGCAGACATGGGTCCCAAAATAACAGAAGACCCCCAGATGCACTCTGTTTTGTGTGTGAGAGCATTAAAGATACAGGTCTGAACTCCATATGTTCTTGGAAGTGAAGGCAGTGAAAGTGCCTAAACAAATCCCAAGCAGAAAAGGAAGTTCCTCAGGAAGCGTCCTTTCTATGTGCCACAGGTATTGTTAAGACAATGTATTCCTTCCTGTTTATCAGAGAAAATTGCTTAAGGTTGTTATAAGAATCAGGGTTATGTTTATAACATACACGTACCTCCAACTGCAAGCAGCCTGTGTGTAGCAGCTGTGCCAGCAAAAATACTGCACTTCACCGCTCAGAGAATTAAGCAGAGCCCTATGCTGCACAGCAAAACACAGTCCACCAGAAACACAACTACAAGAAAGAGCCACTTACTTGTATACAGGCTTATGGACGCTCCTACTCCTTCCGTCACACCATCAGCTGCTACTGCAAAGACTGTGAAAGTGTACGGCGTCCCAGGGGTTAACCCAGTAATTTCAGTTTCTGTGATATTTGATGTCTCGTTGTTAACGGAGTGCCCATTGCTAACCTCTATTCTGTATCTGTAGGTGTCTGTTGCTGTGTCATTCACTGTCCAGGTTAAGTTGACAGAAGTCACACCAACATATTCTGCCTTGAGATCAATCACCTTGCTGGGCTCTGAGAAAGGCAAGACAAAAATCCATCAATCTGCAACAATATCTCCTCACAAAGAATAGGGGAAAGACACAGACACACCACTACTTCACTTTCTTCACATCACGGGTCAATCAGAGTGCAGGAGCACCACAGCAACTGCACCACAGGTTCCTGGAGGGCAGGAAGGACAATGGTG